ACCGTGGTTTGGACGACTCTTAGCTGATCTGGCCGTTCTACATGGAGGCTTGATGGTAGTCACGGCAAACACCCCAGCGAAGAACGAGTACAATCCAGTTTGGTAAAAAGTTTATTCCTTAATTTTTGGAGAAGCAGCAGCCAAAATGCGCCGGCGTCCTCTCACAACCCGGAAGAATCAAGCATATCGCTATCAAGCATGACTATTGACCTAAACGCCGGGGATTGTGAGTCTACTCCCAAAAAATCTTTTTCATTATGCAAACAAAACAAAAACACGATAAGACTGCCTGACATTGTCCGATTAGTTCACTTTATACGTTTGGGCACCACCAACATGTATTGTTGACGCAAGAACAAAATGTAAGTACCCCAGCTTTAATTTAGCGTTTTTGTTTCAGTGCTTGAGGAGACACAGCAAAGACATGGTTGCTTACTGAGGCTCCTATAATCCAGCTCTGTTTCTTGCAGAGGCGTATTTATCGCATGCACAGGTTATGCAGCACTTGCAGCAACCAGAGAATGCTTTAGTCTGCGCTGGGCACAATAATGACTACGAATACGCGCGCACTCACCGCGCTGTTGTCAAAGCGTTCATGGGTCAGAACCCGGAACCCGCGCCCCACTTATTTGAGAAGGACAGGTGTAGGCTAATATCACTAGCCTAACGTTAGATTCAGATTCATTTATTTGCCATTTGCAGTAAAACCACATTGGAAAAACTGTGCAAGACTACCCCAGTGTGCACCAGACAGAGAAGACGACACACACCAGAGCTCTTGCCACAGCGCCATCTTCAGAGAGCAGTAACATATGTGGCATTACAGCCTGCAGGCGGGCTCTATGCCACTTTCTCTCGTCCTCATTTTCTATTGGTTGTTCGTCCCGTCAATCACCCAATAAAAGGTACGCGTCTTTTTTCACTCGTCCTCTGACCTCACTCTCCTGCTTCCGGTTGCGGTGTTTACGTCGCTGTTCCCGCTCTCAGGTAGTATCCGAAAGTTAAATGTGAGATATTTGTTTTATGGAGCACTGAGTGTTAAATATTGTGGTTCAGTGCTGCTGCCATGGGTCCACTTGTGTTGCCGTGTAACTACCGCCCGCGGTGCTGGCTGTCAACCCAGCTCATGTGTGTGTGAGCGGCTACCGCGCTAACCCAGGTTTGTAGCAGAACTTATAGGTTATAGAACAATTTGAGTCATTATATTTATTTAGATACATGTACTTTTAGATTGATGCCATGGAGCCATGCGGTGCACTGTCGCCGCCTTGCCTTACCCAGATTCCATTGACCAGAATCATGTTACAGTGACCAGAATCATGTTACAGTGACCAGAATCATGTTACAGTGACCAGAATCATGTTACAGTGACCAGAACAAACTTGTTAATAAATGTACATATTTTTGTAACCTGTATCAGCCTCTGTGTTATCACAACGGACCTACGTTCTTTATTATAAATGTAATGTGGATCCAGTTAAATAATATCCACCACACCCTCCGGAACACCACATTTGGCGTTGCTTGACAGGATGTTGAGAAACAAACAGAGGCTGAGCTCGTTATATGTCTATGGTGCTATTGACCTATGCTAAAGCTTGAGGTATGCTAATTGTATGTTATCATTGGTGTTTAGCAAATAGTAACAGACCAACTTTGTAATTTGATTTTTGCCTTTTGCATGCTTTGTTTTTTCGTGATTAAATGTGTGTATTTTATTTCATTTGGCTAATGTTTTGGTCTTGTGACTTCTGTTACACTTGTGACAGCTAGTAATTAATGCTACTGTTAAAGCTAATGTGGTCAAATCCAGTGTGAGGTTTGTGAATAACCTTTTGTATTTATTTTAAAGGCAAGGCGGCGATCAGAGTGTTTTTTAGCTTCCAGTGTTCGAGGCTGGAGGGTGAGGCCACAGCATCTACGCCCCTTAATGGTGCCGTACCTGCGTCTCCTTGGGGTGGCTCAGACCCGTCCAGGCAGTAGCGAGTAAGTTGAGGGGTAGGAGCTGCTGTAGGAGCAGTATCCGTGGTGGTCTCACTTACCATAAGCGTACTGGCGCTACTACTGCTCAGAAAGGATGGACTGGGGGCAGTGCTTTATGGGGCCAGTCATGTTTTTAATGTGGAGCTGATAACCGTCAAGGCCCCTCATTCAGCATAAATTGTGGGTTGGTGATGAGGCAACTGTGTTTTGTGTGATTAAAACAAATGGACGTGGTTGAACAGGGGACTGCTGTAACAGCAGATCTTCTGGAGCGTCAAGCCGCAGCCAGCGTCGTTATGGGAGTGCCAGTTCACCCCGCTTGTGCGTTTGTAGTCGGCGCTCGACAAGCCCTAATTGCAGCCGTTAAGGCACCTTTTCAGACAGTGGTCATATGGAAAGGACATGCAGTACTGGTAGTCGGTTGTCCCCTAGTGTGTTTGCGTGCGCGCTGTGTTTTCTGGTCATGCTCAATATGCCCCAAAACTGTTGCCTTCAGGGCACCTCTTCAGTGACGTGGAGGGTATAGCAGTGGGTAGTTGACAGTCACCCGTGTATGATTTGTAAAGGCCTAGTATGAATGTGTTCACGTCGGGACGACGTTAAAAGTTGAGGGGGGAAAATGTGGCATTACAGCCTGCAGGCGGGCTCTATGCCACTTTCTCTCGTCCTCATTTTCTATTGGTTGTTCGTCCCGTCAATCACCCAATAAAAGGTACGCGTCTTTTTTCACTCGTCCTCTGACCTCACTCTCCTGCTTCCGGTTGCGGTGTTTACGTCGCTGTTCCCGCTCTCAGGTAGTATCCGAAAGTTAAATGTGAGATATTTGTTTTATGGAGCACTGAGTGTTAAATATTTTGGTTCAGTGCTGCTGCCATGGGTCCACTTGTGTTGCCGTGTAACTACCGCCCGCGGTGCTGGCTGTCAACCCAGCTCATGTGTGTGTGAGCGGCTATCGCGCTAACCCAGGTTTGTAGCAGAACTTATAGGTTATAGAACAATTTGAGTCATTATATTTATTTAGATACATGTACTTTTAGATTGATGCCATGGAGCCATGCGGTGCACTGTCGCCGCCTTGCCTTACCCAGATTCCATTGACCAGAATCATGTTACAGTGACCAGAATCATGTTACAGTGACCAGAATCATGTTACAGTGACCAGAATCATGTTACAGTGACCAGAATCATGTTAGTGACCAGAATCATGTTACAGTGACCAGAACAAACTTGTTAATAAATGTACATATTTTTGTAACCTGTATCAGCCTCTGTGTTATCACAACGGACCTACGTTCTTTATTATAAATGTAATGTGGATCCAGTTAAATAATATCCACCACACCCTCCGGAACACCACACATACATATCAAAAGACAGTTTGGATAAGACACATTATGTTTTGGATAAAACACGGACGTTTTTATTACGGAAGTGAACTCCGGCCGCCCTTGCCAATGTCAGAGGGGGCTAGGTGAGGGGGGGATGAGCAGGAAACACTTAGAGGGAGTGAGGAGGGCGGGAGAAGGGAGTGGAGAGGTAGAGGGAGGCGGGGGGAGCGGGATCCGTGCCGGAACTGCAAAGTCGTGTGTAGTTTGGAGGAACCAGTTCATCAGTGGCCTTGGCCGGAGGAATGTAGATAAGAGTGGAGAGGAGACAGCCACAACAATAGGGAAAACACATTGCCTTGATAGGGACAATTTTAAATGCAATGTAGCGGTCAAAAATAGGCAGATATTGTATGAATCCAATGAATCCGAATTGCGGCGCCCTCAAAACCTCCGTACACAAGGGCATATCCATGCCGGGTCAGAGAGTTCAAGCCTGGCCATCCTACATGTTGTAGGATGGCGATAACTTTAACAATTACCTTTGTATGTCACCGATGTCCCTTTTGCAGACCGGGAAGTATCCATGTTTTATCCTTGTTTCAACCGTAGCCAAACTTTGTACTTCATTTCCAACCTGGCCTGTTAACGTCAGCAGTGATACGGGCGTACATACTGTCACTGAGCAGCGGACTTCTATTTTAAATTAGTGAGTAAAACCAATATACTGTAAAAGCAAAAAAAAACATTTAAAATAGAAAAACAAATGTTGAAGTCAAAGTTTGTTAGATATGGTCATTATTTATAGTGTCAGAGTACATATACGAAGTTGTGTGCGTATATATACGCACACAACTTCACGTAAAAGCTGTTGTTCGTTTACAAAGCTGGTCTTGACATTCGTCGACACTCCCTAAGCACTTTTCTTGGTACTTGCAGCGCATTGGATTCAATGGATTTCTCTGCCCTAAAACAGGGCATTGGATTTGAACAAGCAATGCAGAGATGAGCATTTTGACACAATTACTTTTGTTTAACAACGTAGCTTTTGTGAGCTATTGACCGCGGGAGTGTGAATCTGGGAATATGACGCCAACTTTACCGAACTTCTGCGTGTGTGATATGCAGTGAGTGAGTGATGCATTTAAAGGCGACTCTGGAAAATACGAGACAAAAGCTATCCCTTATCAATTCAATACAGGTCCCACGTAGTTGTTCTATTATACGGGACAATTTAAGGGATGGTTGGCAACCCTAACTCGAGACCTTGAAAACACCTTACTGAAATTCAAGCATTTTCCCGACTTTCAAGGAACCCTGCCAATACCTATGTGTTCTATATTTGTTGTTTGAACCGTTTTAGTCTCTTGATTCTCTGGTCTGTGTTGGCAATTTCAATGGTTTTTTAAGTCCTCTAAGATACTGAACTATTATTGTGATTTAGGGCTATACAGGAATAAATTGAATTGAATTGAACCAGATAAACTAGATGTGAATATGTCCAGAGGAGCTCTAAAAGTTTGAGTCATTGAATGAGTGGGATCTTCAGCAGCACTACACAAACTCTCCCACCAGCTCCTCAGGCCAACAGCGCCATGAAGCAGCAACATCTGATTATGGAAGAATGCTTTGCTTATAAACAACTACAGTGAGATTACCCGGGCTTTAGAGTCAAATATTATTAATCCAAACCTGTATCCTCAATGCCCAAAGTCTTCATCAGCCATTGAACAATATCTGCTCCTGGAAAAGACAGAACACAGAAAAGACCATTTCAAGTGATTATCTCAACGTCCTGTCCTTTAAGATTAGTCCTGGTCTCGGGTCTCCTGCCTGAAATCCTCTCACAATGGTCCTGGTCTCAGTCAACTTTGAGGAGCACAGGGACTGGCCTCCTGCTTTTAAAATCCAGCTGAACAGTTCACTTTTGCAACAACGATTGAAAGCTTGTATCTATCTGGTTACATTTTTAAAATGGGAGGAGCAAATAGATTTAATAAAGAAAGTTCGCAGATTAATTTAAAATATGTTTTTATGTCGTCTAGGATTACAACTACAGTAATCTATAGTCTACTATAACTATATACTACAAGTTTTCATGTGCAAAGCCAAGGAACCTCTCATGAGAAAAACATGGTTCTACATCATAGTGCTATGCCCCTTAGGGCTACGCTGTGGGTGTGACTCTTGAGGCACTTAACCACCGCCAAAGAGATCGAGGATCCAATGCTCCAATCACAACGAGCTTCTCCTATAAATAGCCGAGGCCAGGCCTGCACTGCCACTTCGAACTCCAGCGCCGAGAGATCAACTTGGACTAGGCCATGTCTTTGCCGTCATCTTCCCATCCAAAGACCCCTTCGCCTGCCGGCATTGGATAGAAGAAGTGTGACAAATGCGCGGCGGATCTACTCCCCATGGACCAACACCAAACCACTGCTTCTTTTGCCTCGGCCGGAGCTGGTTGTGGCACGTAGTTCATCTCCTGCGTCCCGTCAGGACTCGGGAGACTGCGACATGGAGGAGGACCGCAGTGACAGGGAGAGCTTCACTTAGTTTCGGTGGGAGGCTCGGACCTTGGACGCAGACGCCTGGAGCCGGTTCTGTGTCCACGCATGGACCCTATCTTCCACTACGCCACTCGTGATTGGCCCAAACCCCTAGAGACCAGGCGCCCAGCACTGGGGTACAGGCCTTATTGCTCTGTACCCCAGTACAGAGCAGGGCGGCACGGTGGCTGAGTGGATAGCACTCTCGCCTCTCAGCAAGAAGGTCCTGGGTTCGAATCCCGGTTGGACCAGGGCCTTTCTGAGTGGAGTTTGCATGTTCTCCCTGTGTCTGCGTAGGTTTCCTCCGGGTGCTCCGGTTTCCCCTACCACTAAAAATATGTACAATAGGTCTGGCATGTGCCTCCTGTACTGGCGACCCCACTCCCAAAAATCACAATTGCAAACCGCTTTGAGACTCCGATGTGCAGTGAAAAGGCGGTATATAAGATTACTACTACTACTACTACTACTCTGTCCATGAGCCTACCAGACATAAAAGAACGTGGTGACACTGGCTCTGCTCCCCGCCTCCGCCCTGTGGCCTGGCAGCAGACCGCTCCTTCCCTCTGAGTGGGATAGGATGACGATGTCGCTGCTGTATTGCTGTTATATCAACAAAGCTCAGGTTGTGGCGTTGGCCAGCAGCATGGCTTTCATAACCGGAGCCCTGGATAAGTCTCTCTTCGCCCACCAGGAGCTGAGCAGTGAGGACCTGAGTGAAGCGCGGACCACCTCTGGGGCACTCCTCAGAATGGCTCAGGTGCTGGATGGAGGCCGCTCCCTAGCAGCGGCGCAGGTCGGTGCCCGCCACCTCTGGCTGGGCCTCACCGAGTTGAAAGAGGCGGAAAAAAAGCAGCCGTTTTATCTGCCCATTTCAACATCTTCCCTCTTTGGTCCAGACATGAAGGGGCTAGTGGACAGGCTGAACACCGCGGCCAAGGACTCGGCCCAGTTGGCGCCTCATCTGACTCCCGTCAGCCGCGGAGCTCCGAGCGGGTAGGCAGAGAGCGATCCCCCCAGACGACGCTCTGCCCCGTACCGCCCTCCTGCGTGCTCAGCTCGCCCTTCTCCAGCGAGGCCTCCAGTCCAGGACAGGTCTGGTGAGAGGAGCGGACCCATCGCCGCCCACCTTTTGCAGGAAGAACGTGGGGGGGGAAAGGGAAATGCTAATAAGGCTGTTACTCCACCAAAGAGTCTGCTTCTCCGCTGCTACGCGGCTTGCCTTCACTGGTAGAGGGCATAGTCACAAGCACACTTCACCCCCATCAGGCTGTTCCTCGACCACACTCACACAGCGCTCAGTCTAGGGTACTGGCACTGCTTTTGTACCAAATGAGGACTGAGCCAGGGCTCCACGTTCAGGCTGAGGTAAAGGGTTAGGTTAGGTCAGGGGTCGGCAACCCGTGGCTCCGGAGCCGCATACGGCTCTCTAGTGCCCCTTGAGTGGAGCCTTTTCAAAAATGTCTGAAAATGACGTGGGAGGGGTATATTTTATTTCTAGTTTCAATGTGGCTTCTGTAGGAGGGACAACATCAACGTTTTCCAATGCAATAAAAATGTGCATAAGAAATATTCTATTTTAACATTTGTGTCAACTGAGATTTGCTTCATATCCTGCGATGCGCAGTTTAGGCCCCGCGCCGGGCGGCCACTGTTGTAAATAAACCGGCGTGTGCCACATGAGTCCGCATAAATCCCAAAGCTAAAAAGGGAAATCGTTGATAAGAACCAGGAACTCAAAGAAGAATGGACTGGAACATTTGCTCTCATTGTCAATGAGTAAGGACTGCTTCATGTTTGCTTTGTAATGAGAATATATTGAACAAAAAGAGTCATGTGGAAAATCGGCTGCTGACCCCACTTTGGAGAGAAACAGTGCGATCGCAGTTATTCTGGAGCGGATTCATCTCCAAACTTCTACTACTGAATTTTGTTGCAACACGAGGGACAAAGAAGTGCAAAACACAGTTCGGGACATTCAGCTCCAGTGCTGTAATGCAGGTATGCGAACTGAGCCAAAAAGCGATTTACTGTATTTCTACAATTGCATGAACGCAACAAAAGGAAAGTTAAACTTAAAGCATATATCGTATAGCAGAGTAGTCACAAGGTGCGTCATTCTCTTGCACTACAGTGAAAATGTATATATATCATAATCATGAATGCATATTATGTATTTGTAGCCTATCCATCCATCCATCCATTTTCTTCCGCTTCATCCGTTGCCGGGTCGCGGGGGCAGCAGTCTAAGCAGAGACGCCCAGACTTCCCTATCCACACACACCTCCTCCAGCTCGTCCGGGGGGACTCCAAGGCGTTCCCAGGCCAGCTGAGAGACATAGTCCCTCCAGCGTGTCCTGGGTCTTCCCCGGGGCCTCCTCCCGGTGGGACATGCCCGGAACACCTCCCCAGGGAGGCGTCCAGGAGGCATCCGGAACAGATGCCCGAGCCACCTCAACTGGTTCCTCTCGACGTGGAGTAGCAGCGGTTCTACTCCGAGCTCCTCCCGTGTGACTGAGCTCCTCACCCTATCTCTAAGGGAGCGCCCAGCCACTCTGCGGAGGAAGCTCATTTCGACCGCTTGTATCCGCGATCTTGTTCTTTCGGTCATTACCCAAAGCTCATGACCATAGGTGAGGGAGGGGACGAAGATTGACCGGTAAATTGAGAGCTTTGCCTTTCGGCTCAGCTCCCTCTTTACCACAACGGTCCGATACAGCGACCGCATCACTGCGCACGCTGCACCGATCCGCCTGTCAATCTCACGCTCCATCCTTCCCTCACTCGTGAACAAGACCCCAAGATACTTGAACTCCTCCACTTGAGGAAGGGCCTCTCCACCCACCCGGAGAGGGCAAGGCACCTTTTTCCGGTCGAGCACCATGGCCTCAGATTTGGAGGTGCTGATTCTCATCCCAGCCGCTTCACACTCGGCTGCAAACCGTCCCAGTGCATGTTGTAGGTCCTGGTTCGTTGGAGCCAACAGGACAACATCGTCTGCAAACAGCAGAGATGAAATCCTGTGGTCCCCAAACCGGACCCCCTCCGACCCTTGGCTGCGCCTAGAAATTCGGTCCATGAATACAGTGAACAGAACCGGTGACAAAGGGCAGCCCTGGCGGAGGCCAACATGCACCGGGAACAGGTCTGACTTACTGCCGGCAATGCGCACGCAGCTCTGGCTCCGGTCATACAGGGACCGGACGGCCCTCAGCAGAGGACCCCGGACCCCGTACTCACGGAGGACCCCCCAAAGGACACCCCGGGGAACACGGTCGAACGCCTTCTCTAAATCCACAAAGCACATGTGGACAGGTTGGGCGAACTCCCATGAACCCTCGAGTATCCGATGGAGAGTGTAGAGCTGGTCCAGTGTTCCACGGCCGGGACGAAAACCACACTGCTCCTCCTGAATCTAAGATTCGACCATCGGCCGTAACCTCCTCTCCAGTACCTTGGAGTAAACCTTACCAGGGAGGCTGAGGAGTGTGATCCCACGATAATTGGAACACACCCTCCGGTCCCCCTTCTTGTAGAGAGGGACCACCACCCCGGTCTGCCACTCCATTGGCACCGCCCCCGATCGCCACGCGATGTTGCAGAGACGTGTCAGCCAAGACAGTCCTACAACATCCAGAGACTTTAGATAGTCAGGACGGATCTCATCCACTCCCGGCGCCTTGCCACCAAGGAGGCTGCCAACCACCTTGGTGACCTCTGCCAGGGTGACAAAAGTATCCGCCCCAACATCCTCAGCCTCTGCCTCCGGAGCGGAGGACGTGACGGGGGGATTGAGGAGAACCTCAAAGTATTCCTTCCACCGTCCGACAATATCCCCGGTCGAGGTCAGCAGCTCACCCCCCGCACCGTACACGGTGTGGGCAAAGAACTGCTTCCCCCTCCTGAGGCGCCGGACAGTTTGCCAGAATCTCTTCGAGGCCGACTGATAGTCATGCTCCATGGACTCTCCGAATTCCTCCCAGTCCAGGGTTTTTGCCTCTGCAACAGCCCGGGCCGCGGCACGCTTGGCCTGCCGGTACTGGACAGCTGCCTCAGGAGTCCCCCGAACCATCATGGCTCGATAGGACTCCTCCTTCAGCCTGACGGCATCCCTTACTGCCGGTGTCCACCACCGGGTTCGGGGGTTGCCGCCGGGACCAGCACCAGAGACCTTGCGACCACAGCTACGAGCCG